GTATTCTTGCAACTCGATTACTGATTACTTATTGAACTGTAAAATCTATCTAGAAAGGGAAGAAACCAGTAGAAAAAAGCAGATCTTTGAGAGAACGTGTTGTTTTCAATCTTATCTCTGGTCTTAATTTCGAAGGAAAACATTGGTACTTCGATAATTGCTTTTTTTTTACTTCGATCGAATCATTAGATAAGCTAAAGTTACAGAACATAATGGTCACTAGAATGATTAGGCCAGATGGTGCGCATATTCAATCAAATTTTGCCGCGAAATAGAAAATGGAACAAATGGACGGATATCAAACACGTTTTTTGTGTACTCAAAAAGTGAGTACACTCTAGAATCGGTCAGTGTGTCCGTCCGTCTGTTTACACGATAACTTTCGAAAGAAGAGTCAGATCGCGATGAAATTTTCTACACAGTTCAGTCTTAACAATATCTCGGTCGAGTTCGAAGATAAGAAGGATTGGCTGAGCCCTTCGTGAGTTATTGCAAAAATACTTATTTTTCCCTACACCTTCCCTATGGAAAGATCGACCGATTCCAGCTTTCGTAAACAACTTTTCCTATCATAGTCAACTACAACCCCAACTATTATATACCATTCGATAGAGAATTTCACGAGCTACAAAATGGTATATAAAACATAAGGAAACAAGAAAGCCAACTCAGGTATTGCAAAGATAATTAAACGGAATTCGGTTCTGTTTTTCTCGACGCTCTAATTAATCCACAAATAGAGCTCTATCTTCCGATCACAGAGATGATCAGGGCTACCAAATCCAAATTTCAAAAACAAGGAGTTTTTTGCGAAAAATCAGGGGTTTACCAGGGGATTTTTTCTGAAAAATCAGGAGAAAAATCAGAAGATGTTTATTGAAATCAGAAAATGAATTAGTGGTATTCTCTCAAAGAAAACTGGAGTTTTCGTTCATCTAATCGCTCATTATGTTCTTCTACTAAGTTACTGATGACAAAATTTCCTCTAAGTGATATATATTTTAAAAAAAAACACAATTATGTGGAATTTATTTTACTACTCATTTCACAGTGGTTTATCAAAATATACCGACAAAATAGAAAATGAAGTTTAATTAGACATTGATATGTAACTAAACAAAATGGGCATACATGAACAATAATTTATTAACTATATCGTTCATGTCACTTTTGTAACATGACCATGAACGGAGGGGTCACAAGTCCTGAGTATGCTCGAGCCTACTCTAAGTTGGGCAGCTAAAGGCTTAGGTAGGCTCGTGGATGAAATAAATCAAGGCTTAGATAGCGTCTATTCGTAGATGATGGAATCACACGGCTTGAGTAGACTAAAGCCTATCTTAGGTTCAGATTCCATAGACTATGGTACGCTCAAATAATTGTTTTCTACTACGTTAAATTGATAGGTTTGTGCAGTACATAAAAAATTTGAACAGACGTCAAGATTTTTTGTCGCTATCGGCAACAAATAGTAACATTTATTGAAACAGACCTAGAAACTGTTTTTGAGAAAACTTTTAGTTTTGTGTGGATAAATGTCAAATTTTGGGTCAGCCATGATTTAAAGTGAGATTCTTTCGTTAAAAGTGACGAAGTACTGCATAAAAAACCTGAATCATATCAGCTAGTAGCTGCCAAAGACTTTCATCATTTTTAGCGACTAAGTTTACATTAACCGATCATTAGGGTTTATGAGAACAACTTTTCTCGATTATTCTTTCTGTTCTCAGAAAAAATTTGCTGTTCTCGCCCGTATATTCTCTTTCTCGGAAAAAAATTGTTATTCTTGTTCTTACACTCTTATTCCCAGAAAAAAATTTATTTCCACTTCCGTAAGCAGAAGCGTAAACCAGTTCATAGATCGGTGGTGTGTAAGTGTGATTTTTTTTTTGGTAGCGACTGAAAATACTCAACTTTTTTAGTCTGTCGGCGAAGGCGAGTGAATCTGTTGGACGATTTCTTTAAGGTTTTCTTATTTCCGAGAAATTATCGGATGAAAAAGAGAAAACAATGGTAGAGAACACACTGATAAAAACCCTAGACAGAAACATCGTTGAAGAGTGATCTCAGGCGTCGAAAAATCTTCAAAACTGTTAGTTTTTTGTCCCACCGACAGCGGCGACTCAGCTCGGCGATTTACACTTCTAATCGTAAGACTTCAGAAATTCATATTCCTGTTTTATTTTTAGATTTTAAGATAACCGTGACACGACTTGAAATTAAAAATATAATTATGATTGAAGCTACAGTAGGATAGTTACGTAAAAATAAAAAGCTGTCACATACATGTATCTGAATATGTATGCAAATATGAGAAAAAATGCGGGAACACCAATACTTAATGGAGTTCCCATTGCCATAAGAAATGGTGCGAGAAAACGATGAGTATAGAAAAATATTCTCGCAGAACAAAATCTTTTGTGAACACTGCTCATTGGATATTATTTTGTTTTTCAGCAAAGCAGATGGAAAACAATTCTTGCGAGAGTTAAAAGTCAATGAAGATAATTATCGACATGTTTTCTTAAATGCACGTTTTTTGACACATAAGTTGCAAATGCTTTTCTTATCTCTATCAGCGTCATACATTACAAAAGACGAGTTCAAAATGAGAAATACTAACTTTGTTTCATCAATATGGCATCAAAAAAATTGGCTTAGCCCATATTTTTAATTTTCTGGTGCGAATCCTGTAAAAAATTGTTGAGCCTACCCTAGATCCAAAACATTTCGCCACCTATGAGCATAGTCATCTTTTTCTGAAGGCTGAATTTGTTTCAATAGGTCTGAATTATTTAAAGGATAATTATAGAACTTTGTACAACTGAGATGATTATTCATTTAGTTCCTAATTATGCACCAACAGGATTGCACTTCAAATCGTTTCTATTATCAGCCCACAAAAATTTCATGTGACTGAAGGTCAATTCACAAATAGCATTCTAGGTTGATATAGAAAAAGCGAACTAAACTAGTTTTTGTCCATGAGGTACATTTTAACCATCAAGAATATAAGCTCACAAATAAACGCATGTTATCAGGCCTAACAAGCAGAAACGCCGTGTTTTCTTATTGTCTATTGCATCTATGAAATAGTGTGATAGTTCTCTTTTTCTTTGTCTTATTGATTCAAAATATCACTACAATTAAACGTGACAAAATCCTTTAAAAAAACAGGAGAAACCAGGAGAAAATCATAAAAATCAGCTCCTGGATTCAGGAGATTTTTTCGCCAGGAGAAGAGTCTAAAAATCAGGAGTCTCCTGGTGAAATCAGGAGATTTGGCAGCCCTGGAGACGATACTTCGATGTTTTCTGGGGTGGAGAACTCGAATCTATGCTCCATTCGCCTTGAAATCCCATCCGTTGAACAGGACCCAATAGAAATCAAGTTATAGGAAAAACGACTTTCTTTGGGTAAATCAAAGTGAAGAGTTCAAATCTGAGCTGTATTCACCCACAAATCCTATCGCTTGAGCAGTAGCCAATAGAAATCAAGTGTTTACAGATAAGGTTTGCCAGGATAATTTTTATATCCCCACATTCTAGGATGACTAATCTGGCTCATTCACTTTTTGAAGTACACATAACTCTCGGATTTAAATTCGAGGTTTCCACATTTATTTTGGGTTCAAATAACTTCTGAGGCTATACCTTATCATTTCATTATCATATTTTATGGATTTAATTTTGTTGAAATTCTGTGTAAAAATAAAAATAAAAAATAACGAAATGATGGCGTATTTCTCGAGAACGATAAGAACATTACAATGATTTCGAAAGAATGACGCATGTTTATAATGTCATTCGATTATTACCCATCATGTGTCGAAGTCCACCGGCAAAATGCATCACAAAATGATGCAGAAACGTGAGAAGAAAAGAACTATTAGACAGTCAAGACGAAATTTTTTTGTCATATTTTTCTGTTCTGTTGAAAAAATGTGGCAAAATTTGTATTGTGAGTCATTTAAAAAAAATAAGAGAAAAATTCTCTTCATAGGAAAAAACCCAAAACTAAAGGTAATATTTATAGATTCGATAACGTATTTCATTTCATAATTTTTTGTTCAACTTTTCGCATGCATTCTGAACGTACGACCGATCTGTCAATTCTTTACTCGAATTTAAAATCTCATCCAACTAATCAAGAAAATGTTGTATTAATCAAGACGGGTTCTATGAATCCTGTTCATCGTAGTCACATATCGAATATGGTACGAACTAAACAATACTTGGAGCGGGTGTATAATTTCAATGTTATTGGTGGATATCTGTCGCCGACTCATGATGAATATGTTCACAGTAAATTAGGAAATGAACTTATTAGTGGTCAACATCGTATTGAAATGTGTCGAAAAGCTATTGAAGAAGCTGGTCAGCAACATTGGTTGAGTGTTGATATGGCTGAATGTATGGGTAAGTTAATGGAACTTTTTCAAATATATTTTCATTCAAGAAGATGGTAATCATCTATCTAAATCTGTTTCGTATTTATTATGGCAATGTTTTGGTCATCAGAAACGTGTACTGAGACAGAGCAGTCATGCCTATGAAATCATAAAACAGGTTCAAAATTTATTGTACTCAACTAACATTCTCATTAAGAGGATATGCTACGTTATCAGTAAAAATGTGAAAATAATTTTATTAAATTTGTTTTTCATTATGTTTTTACCTTAGCTATGTAAAAAAACCCATGTCTAAGTCTATTTTAGCATTAGACTCATAAGAGCACAATTATAAAAATGACTCATAGTGAATGTGTGACTGATATTTTTCTCATGCTAAACAGAAAAAGAGTAGAGAATAAATTTGATATATTTTGGCATGTTTTTGAATAATTCACTTTCTTAACTATGATGTCAATTGAGTATAGTAAATTTTCGATGGTAGTTTTGATGTTACAAATATTCACATATATGTGTTACTTTCACAAAACGTGTAGCAGTTAGATGAACCTTTTATGGATAAAACAGCTTTTATCATATATCTTAACATGTTACTAAATATTCGGTTTTCGAATTGAGTGTTTCCCTAGAAAGAACAATCATATTCTACAGATTTGGGTTATTTTTAGTATAATTTAGATGAATTTTATATACTCAATTCAAAAATCCAATGCATTAAAAATCTTGAACAAATATATGTTCGTTCGAAAGCTTCAACATGTAAAACAGTGTAGTCTTTATGATATTACTTTCATTAAAATTTCGACGCATTTTTTGCCAGGTTTTTTTATTGTGTGACTAACTAGACTTCTCTCTTTCTAGCTCCTCG